AGACCGTGGGTCTTAAAGTGTAATAATCTAGAAGCAGACATCAAGTCCGTTCGCTTGCATTTTATCATATACACGGTGTACTAGAACCACCGGATATCCTTTTAATCACAGATTCTTTAGAAAATTTCGAGACGAAAATTCTGATACAAAAATGTCGAAGCTATAATAGTTTTTAAATAATAAGCGATTATATTTCTCAAATGATAGGCCTGTCGCACGTTCAGGCACGGCGACATGCCAAGTGATAAGAGTGTTCCTATGAATGTCGTCCTTTTCATTTAATTCAAGTGCAAATTTGCAACATGTTGTGACTTCAACGTGTCGCAGCTGTCAAAGTAGTCGATCAATATCAGTTACCACGAAGGTTGTTGCTATCCTAAAATGAGCGACATTTATAGGAACATTTTTAATCACTTGTCACGTCGCCGTACCTGAGCGCGCGAAATCTCAGGCCTGTCTGTGAAATATAATCGCTTATTATTTAAACGCTATTATAGCCTCGACATTTTTGTCCTAGAATTTTCGTCCTGAAATTTTCTAAAGGTTTTATGCTTAAAACGATATCCGGTGACTTTAGTACACCCTGCATTGCGCGAGAATTCTTCACTCTTCCACATTACATCTCTCGTAACTGCCAAGTTGTTCTCTCGAAAGTTGTGAGATGGCGTGTAATTTGCGCGACTCGATGCATCGCATTAAATTCTTTCAGAGATCGTGACAAATAACCGCAGCAGAGAAGCGAGAGAACGCTTTTTTATTCATCAAACTAACAAATCGTTCACTCCTTCTGAATTTCCACGAGTATTTTTACGTATTGACTTTTAATTGTTTATTTTTCAACAAGAACAACACGTTTTTTTAAATATCCCCTACATATCGGTTATCGCTAATCGGAAAAAAATTACGCAGTCTCGTATATCTTTTTCGCGAGATATTTGACAAAGTGGCTTTCATGGCGTAGAGTGTATTTTCAATTAATAGAACAAAATAAAAGTTTTATTTGAATTTACTGCTTTAATGTACGATATGGAGTACGATGTGGAGTCATGAGAAAAAAAAACGTAGCCGAAATATAGCTGGGTCGACGTTTATGAATTCGCATAGTTATTTAAATGCATCGTAAAGGAAAAACAGATTTGACAGGGGCGAGAACTCAAGTTTTATAACAACTCCGGTTTTTCCATACGCGTTTATAATATGATAACGTTGTCATGTGATTTAACCGCGCGGACAGCGCTTCTGTCTAATACTATTTAATGCCATTCGATAAAACTTTTAACGGCTAGGGCGGTTTAACGACGTCTATTTCAGCCCAACAACGGCTTTGTCGATATCCCTTTAAGACCTGAAAGCAACGTACGGCGAGAGCTGGCCTCGTCATCAGGTTTTGCCCCTCGCTCTCCCTCGTTTTTTGATCGGAAAACGTCTCCGAATTTATACAAGCGAAACTCCGTCCGGCTATCCGGAGCAAATTGCGTTTGAGCATCGATACGGGTGGAAAAATGAAAAATGCACAACCCTGTCGCATCGACACGTGTACCTGGCGTCGCGGGGCGGTGGGGGGGGGGGGCGGGAGATCCGCGGGGCAGGGCGGCCTTTTGTTTCGCGAAATCCGAAATTCGCAGTGCAAAATCATCGTGTATTTTTCACCGCTCGACGCTTTGTGGCGCAGATCGAGGGGGTAGAATTTAATCGCGCACGCGATGGCCACGATGCGTGCTTTCGCGGAGCGTCGACGAGCGGAAAGGCCGCAAAGTTGGACGGATTAATACGGAGGGGCTCCGGTTTGAAGCCGCGCACTTGGCTTTGCCATTACCGCATCACGCCATCGATCTGCCCAGCGTCCAGTTCCACTCGACATACGGCGTGGAAAATGTTTTCAGCCTGTGTAATGGTGGCCGAGGGCAATGTTGATCGAAAGGGCGTATCGGCTCTGCGCGTAGGTAAAATCATATCACGCTTATCCTCGCTCGCGCAAGCGAAGGATATTTACGCGTTAATTATCGCAAGACACTGCCAGGGTTTAATGACGCTCTATCGTCGCATTAAAATTGTCCAATAAATTATTGTTACAAATCTGATGTTGCAAAAAGCTCGTGTCTTCTTTGTTCGCCGTAAAATGGCGTACTGAGGAAGAAGAGGGCGATAGCATTTTTTGTAATTGATTTTCCTACGGTTACCGTGTCGCAGAAAAGCACTTTTCCCGGGATTTTCTGCTTTACCATTATATCTCCCTATTCCTTCTTTTACAACACGCAATTTGCGTCGCGTACGGGTAGAGGGAAGACGCATTATCTTTGTAAATGTATCGTACCACCTTTTTTTTACAACAGTTGCGACATTACACTACCGGTCCTCTCGCCAAGAGCAGTTGAAAAATACACGTTTTACGTTAACGATGCATGGTGAAAAACGGCGACTCGGTTTGAAACTAAAGTTAACGAAATGTAACGCGAGAGCCGATGGGAAGGCCAAGTAGAGGATGTAATCGTGCAGTCTCAATGCGTTAATTAAAAATTGCGAAATCACTGGCGTGTCGCTTCAGCTTTGCCATCATAGTGTAACCTCGTTACTCGATATGTCGGTGCACAATGTGCCTTTGATGAAACTCGAAAATTCCCGCAAAGTCAAATTAAAATCCTCGCATGAATAGATCCCCGAGTTACGGCTATTAACAATGTATGAATCAAGGAAAGTTGCAACGAATGTCTATGAATCATGCCGATATTGAATTCCGACGTGGATTTCCGGGTACACGCTCTCGGAATTGAGCGATCCAGTAGGAGAACTGCGCGCGGTAACCGCGCATGTGAAATTCAGCGTTTGCAAATTCGCAGGTAGCCAATTAAGGAGTTACCGCCCAAGTTTACTGAATACCAATTTAACTGAACTGAAGTTTCTTAAATATGATGATTATTTCATTATGTCTGGCATGAAATGCGCAGACACCTTTGAATCCGGACAAAACCCACGAGAAAATAACCCGCGATACGTTAGCACTGATATACAGAGTGTTTCATTTTAATCGCCCTAGGCGTTCACTCACGGTCAAACCAATGGCACCGTCTTATGTCACCCCTCGAACCAAACAACTTTTGCCTGAAACGTTCTTCCGTACCTTTCATATTTTTCGAGATACCTGCCTGGTGCGATTAAAATGAAACACCCTGTATATATAACGACAGTCTGTAAAGTTTTATTTTTTAAATCGTTTTCAATTCCTACTTTACCCATAGTATATTTGGTTTTGGGCAAATATTTTAAAAACGTGGTATTTACCTGAATATTAAAAATATACATGTTACATAATGTTTGTATTTTTTAAAGGCTAATGATACTTTTTTTTACGAAATCCTACCGACAGCTTGATTCATAGAATTTCAGGACGTCTGAAATTCGTATTCGGTCTGGTGAACCCAAGCTGTAGAGATAAGATGTAGATAAGTTCGTTATAGATACGCGCATGTCGAGTGCCCATAAACCACAGGCGCTATAATTAGAAGCGCCACTTAAATTAAGATCACATACCGTCGCCCCTGTCAAGTTACATTTCATGAAAATTATGGACGCGCCCAGTTTAATTGTTAGAAATTGGATACGTTGCACGGTCGTTGCACGGTCTTTTTTAAAATTGATGGAAAGTAATCACACTGTGTAACGCCATTTCTTGGAAAATGGACTTAATTTCTGCGTAAAGCGGATTAATTAAGAAATGTGTGATACCCTACGAGATTGCGGATTCTTATATGAACAGTCGGGCAATTTCCTATTTCTAGTTTCTAGCAACAATAAGCTTTTTATTTATCTTTCATTATGAAATCCGTTTGTTCTTATAGCGTCGTTCTAGAACCTATTGCTACAATAACATTCTCTCTCTTTCCCTCCCTCCCGCCTCTCTCTATCTCTCTTTGGGAGTCGGAAAAATACTTTAGCCCTTGTTAGATAATCAATGATAGCGCGTCTCTCGGCGCGATTTACGCTAACTTTAATGGTAGTACACTAGAGCGTATCGATCGAATTTTTAATTCGCACTATAGACATCTACATGTACTCCATTTAAAGACGTTCTGTTTATAAATTTATACCATTCGGTTATACATACGTAAAGTCTGCAATTGAGATGCGTGCTGGACGCTGCACGGTGATAAATATCGTCGATATAGAACGACGTGCCAGTCGCATCTGCATTTCGCAAGGCAGTCGCGCGCGGATTGCTGGAAATTTCAAAGTCAGTCTTATTGCAAGGTGCAAACATAATTCCCGTGGAATACCGCAGTGGAATCGATGGTAACGCTTCGCTTTGAATCCACGCCGGGGTAAACGCATCGGAAGTAAGAGGAGACAAGAAGAAACTAGGGCACCGGAGCAGGGACATTGGACGAGAAACGGATATAAAAAGGGTTGAACGTTTTCGAAGAGAGAGTCAGAGAGAGATCGATGGACATGATTTCCAGAACTTTTGCATCCATTCCTCAGACGTCCCCTTGGTCATTTTTACGAAGAAATTGATCCGCCTTTAATTCAATGCACGTAGGATCGTGCATCTGCAGTTCGCTCACGATTCGTGCGAAACAGAAGCGATATTGTTTGGCGAGGCGTGTCTGAGGAATATTGCTTGGAGGCTATAGCTACATAATTTTATTTACAGACGCGTAATATTATGGTGCAAATTAGTTGGCCATTGAAGAAATTGGAAATTACAGACGACTTGCGTGAAAAACAATGCCAGTTTCCGAGATAACGTCCTTGTTCAATTTACCACTGATTAGAAACGGCGATTCCCGACGTTTTTTTTTAACCCCGAGCACCCTTTTCACTTTGTGTAATTTCTCCTTTCCAAGATTATCCGACTCAAAAGTATCTAAATATATATTGATATACACACACGCACGCACACACAATATATACACAAATAAATATACAAAGAAAATATATTGTATATTCAAATATACAATACATAATACTATGCGTAGGTATTTTCAAATATCTTAAAGCCCGTCATGAGTGTCAAAGAGGAGGATATGATTCGTATATATTCAATATGGATTCATCCATCATCGATAACGGAGAAGAAAGGCCTTGCCGTGTTATTTGTAGCATTGTCAAGTGAACCTGACGAGATTGAAGCATCATTTGTTGAATGTCTGACGTCATCGTCTGTAGTCCCAGTTCCTCCCTTGAAACCCCAAAATTCCCCCTGGGAGGAATTCCCTGGTTGAGAAACCCCTTGATTAGAAGAAAACAATCTATTTTCTCACAATAGGAACTCGATCTTTTTGCTACAAATAATCAACGAAGAAGTAGCGATTAAAAAGTAACAAGGATTAATTAATGTAATTAATAGCTAGAACTGTAAAATGTAAATATAAAGTAACTGGATCTTGTATAGACTCATAATGTATCAACTTTTTCAAGATTTAATTATGTGATCCCTTGTTACTTCATGAAAATTATTACATAATACATTATTATCCGTCAGATCTTTTCAAGCTATAAGACTTTACGGAATTAATGATAAACTGCAAAGGCAGTTTTCTGCTCCATAATAAAGTTTAGAAGAGAAACGCGCTTTAATTTGCGTTTGAAACGCGCTTTTATATATTATATTATATACATATATCTCTCTATCTTTGTCTTTGTCTTTCTCTGCTTCTCTCAATTGGCTCTTTCTACATCCGCCGTTATCTAAAAATAACGATTCTCCTTGGAGAATCAATGCAACGCCATTGAAATAGTGATACGTTCCCCTGAGAATTGAAATCTGCTACATTTCACTCGATTTTGTTTAATCCACTAGCGGAAGTATTATACGTGTGCTGTGCGCTATTTATTTCATATGATCAAATCAAAAATTCTTAATTTACGCGGCTAAAAAGATAACATTTACGAATTGTTCCTGCGAATTATAGCTGTGCATTACAGTATGGTGTGAAATCGTAATCTCTGCGGTATTTTTGCGTCAAGTTACATCGGTTGCATCAAGCGCGCTGTATTTTGCACAGATTTCCATCATCCAATATTCGCATTTCCGTTCGCCGAGGTGAATATTACGCGTGCTACCGAGCAGACATTTCTTGACTAGGCACGTTTTCAAATGTCTATGCGCGAGAAATAAAATCACAGGTACGCGGTCGTAATAGTAAATAGTTAAAACATTTTTCGCAAAATTTTTCCAGAAATTACGCCGGCGAGAAATGACAAAGGTGGTAAATGTTTCGAACATGTTACGAACTTTATCAATATACATCGCGCAATAATGTAGCTTGTTAGTCCTGTATGTCGCGCTATCAATAGCGTTCATTCTGCTGAAAATACGTAGTTAACATTGTAAGCGGATTAAAACGAACTACGGACCCTGTTAACGAAGCACCTCGTATGTTCGTAAGTTATTGTTACTATAGTTTATCGGATAATTTATGAACTACAGTGAGCCGTGAAGAGACTATAAACCGATGGTGAATCTCGACGACTGCATGCTTAATTGAAAATCTGCTTTCAATCCGCGCGTGTTTAACGACTTTGTTGAACTCTGATAATACGCCGATCGAATTTCCGGGCTCGTAGACCCGTTTACATTCGGGGAAAATATCGCACGAGCAACAACGGAAATTGCTGTTGCGCGTTTCAGGAAACATGGTGCAGACGATGGTGGCACATCTCTCAGAGGAGCGTCTCCCTGTCGGCCAGTTCCTATTCGCCAAAGTTAAATCCGCTTCTGATGAAGCAGCTGAAAGAGCCTAAAGCCACGGAAAAAGAGGTGAAGAGGACCGCGCGGGTTTCGTCGGCGGAAAAGGCGGAGACCGAGAGCATTGGTGAGTTACTTATCCCGCCTATTAAGATCGACCAAGCGAACGTATTGCGACGGCACAACGGGACGTAACAGCGATTGCAAAATCATTTCCCTTCGCCGGCATCTCGTGGCTGGTTTAAGGATCGGGCCTATCTTCAAAATAGTACAAAGTCGCTAAAAATTTGCGAAATTGTTCTTTTAGTCTTCCTAATTTATTGCATAAAAGTAAAAATGCATCCACTAAACGGTTGCTGAGATATAACTCTTTTAATTTACACTGATTTTACACGTACTCTTATGGGAAAAGCCGATCTTCACGGATAAAACAGCTAAAAAAATGTAGAAGAAATAGTACCAGTGTTTTGAATTTTTTTTATACATCTAGTATACGAATAGATGAAAATATCTACCAAGTTTTATTAGTCTTTACTGCACCGTTTTAAAGAAATAAAATATAATAAAATATAACTTGAGATATTCGTGCTGTCGGCACGAATTTTTTTAGTTTTGAAAATATTTGACGTTATTAAGAATTGAAATCAGAGTATTTTCACTATCAAAAGTTTAGGCTCATAAGTGAAAAAAATCGCAAATAATTCAGGAAAAAACATTTGTAAAGTGAAAAATACCTTTGTAGGAATACAAATAAGACTCCAACTATCGTTCAAGTTTCTTACATCTGGATTTACTATGCGTTAAGAGTAGATATTTAAGTATTTCCAATTTCATGCACTTTTGTCTAAGATTGTACGTCCAATACATCCTTAACGTAACCCGGTGGTATCGAGACTTGCAGGATCCGACAGATATAAAGGATACGCAGTCCTTGCAAAATTGCAAAAACAATCGGAACTGTTTCACTTACTTTTGGTAATTTGGTATATCCACGGTAATGTTTTAATTTCAGATAGAGTCTCGTAATTAGTTACGCGTCTATTTTAATACGCTTAACAACAAGAGTATGCATGCGAAAGTATTCCGTGCTCTCGGTATCATTAGCACATTTTCAGGCGCGCTGATGCATTAATTGTACACAGATGCATTAATTGTACGACACGAGATATGCAAATACTTCTTATTGTATTATACATGTGACTGAAACATAAAATCGTCACGTCTCCCATTCTTGATCGAAAGGCTAAAGGGAATGAGACACGTAAAGCGATTAAAGCGCCGACACGAGGCACCCGTGAGTTTTTCAATTCCGTGAACAAAGGACGGTAATAGAAGGCGAGCTCTGTCGCGCGGATCCCGGAAAAGTTTCGTAATGCTTGCTGTACTCAAAGTCTGAGAGCATCTATGGGAAGATCGCTTTACACAGCGCTCGTCATACTGTACATATATATAGCTCGCAGTGTACATTTTACGGCACTGTCTGGTGTACACGGTGTAACGCTTGACACCGAATTCACACCGAAAGCTTTTACGATCCTCGTATTTACGACTATACCACGTACACTCGAAAATAAATCGATAATTGCGCCGCTCCTGGCGAGCAAACTGGGACATTATCACGCTTAAATAATTACGTCGACGTTAAAAGATATTCAACGGTGTGTAACGGGAATGTGCTCGTTTAACGTACAAATTAGAATTTACTTGTCATTAATGTTTCCTTTGTTCGTAATAATAATGAAACGCTATTCCAGTACTGCCTAGCTCTTGCGCGAGTGACGTTACCTCATCCGCGGGTCCGCATTAAAGCCAACGGCACACGGTACTATTTTTCCTACTGGATTGCTCACGAGAGCCAATCAAGGTTTGGCCTTAAGTCACTTGATCGAGAACTCTGCATCCCGATTGGCTCTCGTGAGCAATCCAGTGGGAAAAAAAATAGTATCGTGTGCCGTTGGACATTCGAGACTACACGGCGAGCCTTGGCACCCTCTTGAAAGTCCACGGTAGTGAAATCTTCAGAAGAATCGATTAAATCAACAGGACCGTTCCAAGAATACGTAATGTCGAAAATAACATCGCGCCGTGCCGTCAATATATCATTTAACTCGAGACGTGCGTTGCAAAATGTGTGACATTCAAGATTCATCGTCGAGACTCGGTACTTATCCTGTTCCTCATCTGCTCAGGCATGATGGCCTGAGTACAGATTCAGAGAGGACGTTTGGAATAATTGCAAAATCTTTTTCTTTTCGCGCAAACGAGAATAAGATACGAGAAGATGTCAATTTAACTTTAACGACGTCTAAAAAGAACATTAGTAATTAAACAGCACTCTTGGAGGGGTGGGAAACGTTAACACATGAGATTATTACGTAATTCTCTATTACACATTTAGTACATTCAAATTACATCGATTATTCGTGCTCTGTGCACAATATGCAATAGTATATTGAATAATCTATAATATATATATTATATTTTAATACGTATCAATATTTATTACCTGTTCTAATATGACTCGTGTGGACTTATCCACCTGGAATGATAAACTAACTGATCGACAGCACTTACGTACCCAATAAATTACTTTGACTATCAACGTACTCTCGCGATATTTTCGTTTATCTGCTATATCCGAAGCACTCGACAGAAATACGGCTTCAAAAAATTCCTGGTTTCTTTCCAGCGACGTTTATTCGATTGCGATTGAAGTTTGTCCGTTCGCAAATTGAACACCACCTGCTTCTTCACAAAGAAGGATCAGGTAACGCCAGGAAATATCTTTGCTCAACATTTCGTTAAAAATAACAATCGCCCATGATCTTCTAGTCTCGTCCGCCGCGTCGAAAAAAAAATAAATATCGTACAAAAGATACTCCCCGTTCAGGATGTTTGCGCGTATTGGCTCTGCTCGTCGATCCCATTGAGACTATCCTCGAGCACCTCGAACTCCTCGAACTCCATTTTGCCGAAATCATTGCCGACCTTCCAGCTCGAGTTCACCTCCCACCTCGTCAACGCGCTCGGCATGAATCTACTCGGATAATTGGAGCTCGAGTCGTCCAGATCGCCCAGCTTAAAGTCAGCTTTGAAGGTCTTCCTCGTTTCTTTAGTATCTTCCCTCTTCGGCTCCAGACCAATCACCACCGGCGGCTCTCTCTTCACCTGCTCGACTCGCTCGACACCCTCCTCCGTTTGTGCCTCGTCCTTTTGCCTGCCGTCGATCGTCGTGATCTCGATGCTGGGCGTTTCCGCGATGGTGCATTGCCGGAGATCGGCGCGTCGGTCGCGACTGCGGCGCGACGATTGTCCCTCGACGAGCCTGCCGGTCAGCTCCAGCCTGCTGTCGCAGGAGTTGCTCTTCACCAGCTTGAACTTTACGTAATCGTTCGACTTGTCGATTCGCTTGAAGCCGTTGCTGACCAGCGGCGACACCAACGGCCCGTTGTGCATGTTGACCACTTTGCCGCCGTAGTAAGTTACGGAGGTGCCGCACTCGCGGATCTTTCTCAGCACGTCTTGGGACACGTAGTGCCCCGGACCACTCGCGTCCGCATCGTCGTCGTTGCAATTCACATCCTCGTCGTCGGACGACGTGCAATGGGCACCGCTTCCGGGGTCGGTGTCGGGATAGTCGCTGGATACACCGGAACTGACGCTGCCGGAATCCCAATTCTGATGATGATGATGATGGTGGTGGTGGTGGTGGTGGTGGTAACGGCCGACCTTGCTCTTTGAGCAATTAGAGCCGCTTGGCGACGTGTTTCCGCTTCTAGCTTCGAAACTCTGCGCGAGAATTCTCGTTTTCGACTCGCATCGCGGACTTCCGAGCTCCTCCTTGGCGACGGAGACGGTCGACGACGCGGACTTGGTCTCGAAGAGTCTCGTGAGATCTTTCGCTCTGCTGGAACATCTAGATCTGAACATAATGCATTAGATATGACTATTTCACGAACGTTCGAAGAATGGGTGGAGATTGCTTTAAACTCGGGCCACACTAGTCGGTGCATTATTTTTCATGCAAACGATTTCGATCGTAACTCTCGCCTGCAGCTTTAATGAAATTTCGGGCAACACCATTGTCTTAGCGCGAACAATCAAATTACAGATTACTCAACACGCAGACGTGTTCCAATGTAAACTTGGCCACCATTCCCCCTTAAACTTAACGTTATCTCGAGCCGATTTATCTAGAGTACCGTCACCTCGCATTTAATTCGTCCGCTTCAACTAACGTGCTAGAGACAGTTGGCCCCTATAACGTATACGCTTGTCGTCAAAACACTCGCATCCGCATCGTGAATAATAAAAGCCTCGTCGTCGGCGACATACATACAATATTACGCTACCTGGATTCTTCGCGTGTCTTGTCGGATATTTCATCGTACCGACTGTCGTCGATGCTAGTCAAATCCTTCATGCTGACACTCCTCCTGGCCTTGTCGTCCCTGGAGAACTCGGCGTCGGTTATGCTCTTCTTCTTCTTCTTCTCGAGAGTGTTCTCGAACATGCGTCTCACGTTTCTGACGGTGTCCGGATCCGGAAGCTCTTCGTCAATCAGCTCACGGTTCACCCGTATAGGCTGATAGAAGAAGTGCTTCCGAATGGACGACTGTCTGGAGCTTTTAGCGCCGCCGCTCTCGGCACGCTCCCCGTTTCTCTCGCGGTTCTCCATCTTCTTCTGGATCGCGCCGGCGATCTTGCACGTGGGCTCCACCCTGGCCGACGGCGACGACTTCCGCTCCACCGGCTCGGCGCGCACCGGCTCGATGATAACAACGTTGTTGTCCATCAGTAATTCTTGGAACGAGTACTCGCGCAGGTATTGCATCAGTCCCTCGTACGTGACGTCGCCTCGTGCGGTGCTGAACATGTTCTTGCTGAACATGTGCGACTTGACGATCTTGTAGCGCACGTGATCGAACTCCGGGCCGTCGTCCTGGCATTCTATCGAGTCCACGCAGCTTCTGGATCTGGTGAGATTAGTGTGCGGCTTCTTGCCGTCGCCTGTTCTGAGCACGGTGGAATTGTTGGAGGAGCTTCCGACGTTTCTCAACGGCCGGTCGTCCTCGATGCCATCGTCCACCGATCGCCTGCGGGAATCGCTACCGGATTCGGAACCGAGGCCGAGATCGGAACTCTCCGATCGCGCCTCGAAGCCCAGGCTGCCCTTTACGACGCTGCACGCCTTGCCGAGAATGTTGGACGTCTCCTTGACGATCCTCTCGAATCTGCCCTCGTTTTGCTTATTTCGCGCCGCCTCCTTCTCGGTACTTTTCCGCTCGAAGAAGCTTCTCGCGTCCTCCGTCGCCCCATTTTCCGCATTTTCCGGTGATGTAGCTTCCTGCGAAATTAATTTGTCAATTGATTTAATGCGTTTCCGCGCCATCGCCAACGTCGAGATGTCAGGTTTTATTAACGGAAAATGGCGAGGGGGTAGATGAGGTCGTGAAATTAAAGTGCAACGTTATAAATTGACGAAATTATAAATTGGTTAACAGAAACGAGTACTTAATCGAATGAAAAACCTTTGCGAAATGGCAGATATTAAAGTCACGACGCGAAGTCGCAGAAACTATTCCAATATTCCGTGTGCAGCGTACGTGCAGGGAATTCAAAAACTCTGCTTCGCACTTCTCCAAAGAAGATTTCACTTTTGACGTGCTTAAGGGAAAATGCAATCTCCCGGTGCGTCTCCGACGTCACATTCTCGCGGTCTCGGGAATCAAAGGCTTAGAAAAATTTGAATGTCTCGTCTAACGGATTTATGGAGATAAGGAATAATTAAAAGTTCCATTCTTATCGGTGCAAACATTCCATCGCATTTCACACTAACTTTCGCTTTTCTCCCGTGAACTTCGTCCTCCTCGTTCACGTCATTAATCGATTTAATTACGGAGGCATCGATACGCTCGTTTGCCTCTGTCGTAATCTCCTGCGATCTCCTATCTTTTGGCACGTCCTCGACGATAGCGTCGATCTCCACGACGGAGCGCCGATGGCGTCTCCTGGTAACGTCGTTGTCGACGACTTTGAGAATCTGCGGTCTTCGTGACATCTCGCTCCGGCCGTCGCTGTCCAAGATCCAGACGGACTTGTAGTCCTCCACCTCCTCGATCCTTTGATCCTCCTCCTCGCGGGGGCTCACAAAATTTTCGACATTGGCTCTTCTGCGATCGGTTTTAAACGACGAAGAGGGGGCGTACTGATCCGCAAACTTGTTCGCCGAGCTGATCTCCGCCCCGAGACTGCCGTCGGCCTTTCGACGCCTCCGCCGGCCCGAGTCCGTCCCCTCGGACGAATCGAGATCCTCGCGGGCCTCTTGCTCAGCTTCGTCGTCGGCTCGAGCGGGATTATCCTCGCTCCCCGTGTGCTCCTTGCATTTCTCCTCGTCCGTGGCGTTGCTGCTCCTCGTCGGCGAAACCTCGCTCGCGCCGCTCGGCTCGTTGTACTCGAGCACTCTTAAGTCTCGCAAACCGTGTACCTTCTTACGCGCAAAATTACCATCCCTCGTTGAATCGCCGTTGTACTCCAGCCGTATGTTGGAGAGGGGCAGCAAATTCAGTACGTCGAAGTATTCCAATTCCCCGTCGTCTTCAAAGAGGATGCTGTCTAAGCTCCTGTGCTCCTTCCGCTTGCGCTTCACCTGGAGGGAAGAGCACGTTTAAGCGCTTGCTTTTCATTCTTTCCTATACAAAGTTCTGTTATTCAACTTTCAGAGCACCTTGTTTGCTTTTTTACAAGATGAGCCCCTTATTACGAGAAAATATTTTTCTAATAGATACAGTTTGCAAACATTTTTGAAAGAATCAATTCTTAATTCAATTCGCCGTTCTCTTGGCTATACAACTTTTTGTCGCTTAATTACACGGGCCTACAAAAATGACACTTTTGAATCCCCACCGAGATTTAAGGGTGTTTCTCTATGTAATTCTTAGCGCTGAATCCAAATCTGACCGCAGAATTTGTCTAGCACGTCAGGATTTTGAGAGAATTGTAACGATTTTTTAATTTTTGGGCCGCCATATTTGATCAGCCATGTTGAAAATACAAATTCTAACTTTAAAATCTTAATCAGTGACCCGAAAAACCCTTTGATACAAAGTTCTGAAGAAATCGGTCTGAGAAACGTTCGGTGCTTAGGTACCAAAGAATATGGAATTTGTTAATATTAAGTGTCCTACAGTTGTAATTATATTACACCATTTCGAAAACCGCGTATATGCATTTCCGTAGATTTTGTCATGAGAAATCCGAATCTGTTGACTAAATTAACGAGTATCATTGCGTTTCAAACTTATTTTCATCTGAAAATGTCAAAAAATGGCCTTTTTTGCACTTTTAAATTAGAATATCTCAAAATCCTGACGTGCTAGGCAAATTCTGCGGCCAGATTTGGATTCAGCGCAAAAAATTACATAGAGAAACACCCTTAGATCTCGGTGGGGAAAATCTTGTAGGCCTGTGTAATTTAGAGATAAGAGTTCGCAAGTAATAATTCACAAACCTTTATTTTGCGGAATTCGCGCAGAGAGAGAGAGAAAGTTATTATTGTACTGCTAAATTTGTAGAGAATCAATCTTTTTGATGCCCGGTTAAAATTTAATTAAGCAACTAATTAAAGATAATAACGATACTAGGAAACTTGTGGCCGGGACATAATGATCTCTATCTCACTTTAATTAATGTTACTAACAAACTTCTTAATCTCGCTACATTGAGGAGTCCCGGCACGGCTGATCTCAACGATGATACATTGCTGCATCGAGTGAACTTTAATCAAATTAATAATTGGAAATATTATCATAACAGCTTCTAATACATTATGCATCATTACCGTATCGTAAATTAAGTTACCCGTGTGTACCGCGGCTAATTACAAGCCAATCTAATTAAACGCTACGATTCGAGTTGTTGTTTTCAATATGAATAATGACTCTAACATTTTTGGAAAGCGAGAACACTGCCACGAGACGAAATATTCGCTGCGAGAACTTCAGAGAGGATAACAAGATCAATTTTGATGGATTCTCTCAGTAACGGAAGCTCCAAGAAAGATCTCTTTCTCCCGCGCAAAGTAAATTAGCAGCCTTTTCGCATCAACGAGAAATGCATTTCACCTGCGTGTATATGCAATCGATGCTCCGATTGCCTTCGACAGGCCAGTTATCCTCGACGATGTCGACCAATCCGCTTACTGTATCCAAATTTTGCACGCTGCGATATCGCCTCGGAGGATCCGGCCAGTCGAGAATATTCAGTCGATTAGGATCGGCGCGATTTTTACGAGTGTAGGGCAGCGGATCTGGAAGCGACGCGAGACCAGGCGGAATCGAGTGAAGGCCGCACGTCGATCGCGAATGATAAGATTTTGCCTCGTTGAATCTCTCGTAGGAGTCCGAGAGGTGTTGCTGACTCTTGGAGAGTCTGAAACAAATTGTAAAATCGATTGCCCTCGTGGAGTACATCGTAAAACTCGAAAGATGCTTGAAAAATATAAGAGATATAAATTATGACTAAAGAGAGCATCTGATGTCCAGTGGCTTCTCTCTAAAGTTTCGCAATAGCGCAAATGTTTTACTCCATGGTTTTATAATATTTTCACTTTACAAACTTTAGAGAGTTGAATGATTTATACGAATTCATCGCATTTGCATGCTGAATGGTAAGGAGTTCATAAAAGAAAACCACTTATTAAAAGGAAGAATATTGAACGGATTTTTATTTTAACAAAGTGAAAAAATAACTCTACTAAATCGGATCGCTCGTTAGCAACGTTACTGATCTCGTGCCAGTACATTGACTCGGTTAAAAAGAACGCCTCGTTAATCGAGAATCGTGGAAATTGTTTCAATGTTCCCATCTCAATGAATTATTAATTATTAAAATTATTTCAGTCACTTCGATGTATCGCACCGCAAAAAGTACGCGTGAAATGTAGCAGCTTTTTTTATCGGCCGGTGGCGACTGTGCATCGAATTAGATTGCCTCCAATGGACCGTAAATGGATGACGAAAACAAAAAGTCAATTGCTCTCCCGTAAGTTGCGAGCAACTATTCGATTTGATTCCGCAACGAGGAGATAGCTCGGAGTCGTATTTCAGCAAAGTTTTTTTTTTCAAGTTCTTGCGCCACTTTGAGAGGAGCTCAAAGTCGTTCGAGTGTTCTGTTGAGGAGCGTCGATCGTCGCTGACCGAACTAGCTTCGATTGTGTCCGGTGTTTTCAATAATTTGCCGATCGCCACGAGCGAACAAGTCGCAAGTCTGCAGTGAAGAGATCGAACTCGTCGCGCGTAGAGAAACTCAATCATAGTTGGACTCGATGGCTAGCCGTTCGTTGTTATCTTATTAAAATTATTATTAAGAGATTAGCTGGAACCTTTATTCGGCAAAATGACAGCAGATACTTGGCTAGGGACGATTCTCAAATTAACGCATTATCTAATATTAATCTTATTGAAAGCAGCTATTAGATAAAATAGCCTCTCGAACTTGTCATCTTCTTCTTACGCGACGGTCGTAGCTTATTGATTAAAAAATAATCAGGCTAAGAGCGCAATTAGCGACCGAGTCTTTCTGTTGATGAAAGGGCTCACCTGTCCTTGAGAGAATTCCGATCGATCAGCTTGGCCCTCGGTATCAGTTGATATCTCCTGGGCAAATCGAAGGTCGACTGGCCCAGCCGAAAGTGCGCCGCTTCTCGATCTTGCCGAGAATCGTCCTCCGATATCACTGCGAGGCTCCTCGTACGCTTCAGCAGCTTCCTGCGATCCTGTGTCGACTGTGCCGAGTGGGAGTCGTAGCGGCTGCCCTCTCTGCAATTAAAATCACGCAATTGCGTGGTAACAGGTTTAAATCATAGGAAACGCAATCATAATAAAATCATACGCTGTGACAGGTTTCCATCGTGCGACACGTAAGTTGACGTATTACATTTTGCATTGTCCTGGCTGTATCAGAGAGGCACTTTCTCCCAACTTACGGATCCTCGGGGAAATTTCAAATTACTTTTACCACGGTAAAAACATCAAGTTTAGAGGCGTAATTAAAAAGTTGCATAACTTAATTCGAAAGTTTTGAAAATCGAGGGGACTCGCGAGCAATAGTCTTGAACTTTCACTGTAAATGTATAACGAGCCTACATTCTTTCGTTAATTTCATTTAATTAAATCCTTTGTGCTCTTTAATGAAACTTTTATTCGAAGCCTAATTAAGACGGATTTAATATTGAAAATTAATTAAAACACCATGCCCGTAATTGCGCCAAATTAAGTCTTTATTCCGGAGAAGCCTACCATAAATCATCGAATGTATTCGAGGCTTATTTTAATTGTCCCTTTTGACACACCCCGTACACTGCCGAAACGTTCAATATATTATGGATACGCAGGCCCTTACGTTCTTTCGACGATAAATAAATGAATAATCCTTACGAGGCAATAATGCAATCGCTGTACGTTTAACAACTAATAAACTTTCGAGCATCATCGCCCTATGTTGGGGAGAGACGGGACATAAAGTGGTGTAACTTTAATAGCCCGTTAATTGCCACAAGTAGCTCAGGCGAGCCGCAACGTTCACTGACGACGATATGGGCGATATCGATGCATATTCATCTTTTCTTTTATGAGTCGCGGGGGAATTGTCATCGTCACATCAACGGTGTACCGTGGGAAATTATCTGCGCGCAAATCAGCGAGTTGGACGAACCCGGAAAAATTTCTGTCGAGGGGGGGAAAAAGGGCGTAATAGCACAACGGCGAGTCTTTTACGTTTACGACAACGTCTTTCGTGTCGGCGAGTTTCCTCGTTTCATAAAATAAGAATATCACGTATTTAGCTCAGCATTTTAACAATCTTTTAAAATGAGATTTATTGCTCGGTCTTTTTATATATTTTTCAGGATTGTTATTCTATACTTTTGGTCCCGTAGCATGACAAATCATATCCCCCGTTATCATTGTCCTCGCATGACGTTCGCCACGATTTACCGGGCTCGACTGCGCACGTTGGTGCATTCATAATGGATGCTAATTAAACACTTACTTATACTACGATATGATAATTGTGTTAAGCGAATCTCCTATTCCCTATTTCAGTTAACAAGTAAGTTACCTGTCCCGGATAATGTGGACGTATTTTACACCTACATACGTGACAAGTGCTAATAAAATAATGCAACGGATATATTAGTATCTCATCTGCATTTAATCGATGCAAGTTTCGAATTACAAATGTAAATCGATTTTGCTAGATATAAATGTACCTAGTATATGTGTTTTTACTTTTTCGTTTACTTCAACGTTGAACGAAGAAGGGACCGTTTAATTTTCTTACAATCGAACACGCACGCACACAGTCCAAAAACTCTGCCTACTCGTCCTAGAATCTCCGTGCAGGACAAACTATGTCCTGTCGACGTAGTTTTCCTGGAAGGGGCTTGGCGTATTGAAATACGCCAGGCGTGTTGGCGAGTGCCTGTCATTTACCAGGAGCAGACTCCCTGTTTTAATGCTCGATTTTTGAGCGTCGAACCTTCCTCTACAGTGTATATACGGGGTGAGTTTTATTACGTGAACCAGTCTCTTACCATGAGGGACGGATTACCGACCGAAACTGTAGTCAGGGGAAAACTGAAAAAATCTCGTTATAAATGTTTCAATCGTGTAATATCTAATTGCATCTTGAGAGATATAATTAGATATTACATGACTGAAACATACACAAGATTTTGTCCGCTTTTTGCCGGGGTTGGCCACAATTTCGGTCGGTAGTCCATCTCTTGTTGTAAAAGACTCACCCTGTATAGACGACAAAACTGCTTGGAATTTTACACAACAGCAAGCGAACAAAATCGTTTTCCAAACAGGGTAGGATACTCCCGAGAGGTTACATGTTCCTTACGAGAGGTGGCGAATTAAATGAGAACCGACAATTTTCTAGTCGGATTTGAACCCGAATCTTTGGCTCGTTAGAGTAACCGCAATCGTCAAAATCTGAAAAACATCAAGTTGAATTGTGCGCAAATACGTTTCTATGTTAGAAAAATCTTGTTAATATAAAACGAAATCGAAACATTTGCGTCCTTCCAGTAATGCTTTTGTTACTTAGTTTGCGGAATTAAATCGCTCGCCTCGCTCCCATTTAGGTACTGAAGTAAATGTGGTAAATCTGCGAATTTTTTTGTCCGCGAACCACATTTACATGTTAAGGTAAACCGGAAACAATGCTTATGCACTCTATGTGCGCTGTATTTACCTTATATTTCTTATTTTCTTACATAGTTATATTACACGGTGCTTTTAAACCCAGTTATAAAGACAAGTTTTTATTGTTCTTTTTTGAAAATAACAAAAACTTCATATGGAAAAGTAGTTCGTAAATTGACAAAAACATATTCAACTGTTTCAACGC